GGATAAGGTGGTCCAGTTGTGAGCAGAGGAAGCCCCCACGCCACTGCAGAAGCTCCTCACCATCCTCTCCGCTAGCTTCATAACGCTTTTTCTCCCCTCTTGCCCTGTTACCACTGATCATATTCATTTCAAATAATCTATCAATTAGTATACGTCAGAAATTGGAAGGAAGTTAAAAATTGTGATATTGGTTTGGTTTATGTACCGCATATATCTAGTGCAGGAATATTGGTAGCCAAGGAATTGGCTAGACGTTGGCACTGTCGATCCAGAGTAGCCACCCATCGTTTGGCGCCAAAAGCAAGCCCAGAAGTGACAAGCCGTTTGTACAAATTGTGTACGGTTCGATCATCCACTTCAACATGTTCCACCCATGTGATCTGATGATTATGGGTAATTGAAAGTACTGTCTAGTTATGAATCAAATTTACTTAACTAATCAATTTAAGCGAGAATTGGTTTATTCATCCTCACAAATACAGACCTTTGAGGAATCATTTGGTAGTTGTTGGATCAAACAACCGGATGGTCTTCTTCGAGTCTTTGAAATTGGAGTGGGGCGTAAATAGTCGAGTGAAACGTCGACGACAGCCCAACTCCCGTCCCCCTGCTGCTTACAGTACCTAACGAAGTAATTTTCCCGAGTGGGAACAAGAGGAGACGGGACCTGGAACTCAGCACTCATCTAATTCACAAACCACAAATTACAACAACACCCACTTACAAACATTAGCCATTAGTTAATTAAGTTTTCCCAGGATGAAATTTTTATAGAACGTACCACTTGTAGAGCTCCATTATAGTTGCCACCAACTCCAGGGGACAAGACTTCCAGGGTCAATGCTTTTGAAACAATGCCACAAAATATGCTTGACCACTGATTCTGCAAAGTATAGTTAAGACAATAGAATAAGTTGGGTTTCTTAAAAAGAGGAAAAAAAAATGAAGAAGGAAAAGAAAGCTTACCACATCCATGAGAATGTCGACGAGTTTCAGATGATTGAAAGCAACAATGGAAGATTCCCTTGAAGCTTCAGAAGTGAGGCCTAAAATTCTGGGGCCAATGATTCCTGTAGAGTAAGTGGTGAGGTATTGGTCTTGGTTGAGAATTTCGGTGGAGTTATTGGGTGCAGGGACCCACAGGGTTTCCCCTGCTTGGGCCATTGTGTAGACTTCTTCCATGGCTGAAACGGCGAGCTCAACGATCACTGGCTTATCGATTTCGGTAGTGACGGACTTCAACATGTCTCCTATGAAATCAGGTGGTTGGGGCTTTAATCTGCCAACGCTGCCCAGATCAAGGGTTCGAGAAGGAACATGATGAGATTGAAGATGTGAACGGGAGCCCCATGGCTTCCCCGGCCCATATTTCCCTGCAACTGTGTTTAATCTCTCAATCTGTTTGGCGATTAAAGGAAAATCAATTAGGTCAAGGTTTTGTACCTAATCAATAATTTTAAGTTAATATATGTTTTAGTCTCTTATACCCTTTTGTATTATTTTTAGTCTCTTCTCATGTTTTAACATTTTTCGATCCTATTTTTATTGGATGGATGTTAAAATGGACTTGTAATGAATTTATATATAACATATAAATACTAGTCGACATATATGTTTTTTTGACTTAGTTGAAAATTGCTAAAATATAAAAGATGCAGAAAAAATATTCCAACATTAAGGACTAAAACATATATTTGTATTTTTTCATTTTGTTTGGAACTTCTTTTTATTTTAAAAATATTGGCAATGATTTTGAATGCGAATTTAGACAACTTTAAGGGATATGTTATATATATATATATATATATATATATATATATATATATATATATATTTATTTATTTTGATGTTCGAGGAATTACCTCTTCTCTTAAATGAGCATTGTCAAGTCTCAAATGTTGGCCATCAAAGGACATCTCACCAAGGGCAGAAGGACCTCCACAGTTAGGGCAACTGGTATTGCTAAGAGCTTCCTTGTACCTCATGTTCTCTGCTCTCAGTTTCTCGTTCTGAGCTTTCAAAATTGCATTCTCATGCCTTTCATGTTGAGCCTTCATGTTTAAAACATTATAAATAATATTAATGCACATAATTAAGTCCCATACTCACTAATAAAACAAGATCACAACAAGCAATTAATATATAATTGTCAACCACTCAACTTTTCTTATAAAGTTTATACACATGTGTGAATTATATTCTATGATATAAAATACTTTAGCTAATAAATAAGACAACTTTTTGTATCAATGTCGTAGTTAGGTAGTTAGCGTGAGTATCGCTTAACGATAATTGACACATACTTCGTTCTTTGAGGTTGTGGAGATTCAAACGTCCATATCTCTAATTGGTTGTACTAATATACATACATATATATATATAGACTATATACCATCTATTATATAAAACTTTTTTCTCTTCCTTGCTCGCTTCTCTTTATGTTGTTCCTAACATATATTTAACATGACAAAGAAAAATAAATAAATAATTAGGTTTATTTTTTAAAGGAAAAAATATATAAAAAGAAAAAGAATAACTATTTATAATTGGGACCAGATAAGAAATTATATCTATTGGGCCTTTTTGTTTTTTGGAGGTAAACTATATCCATTGGGCAAAACTATATGGAATTTAATGCACAAAACTAAATAGAAGTAAAATTATTAATTGTGAGAATAAAGGTGAGATGGGAATCGTCCGTTTATTGCATTATTTTTATATCCACGGGCAAGAGACAGATTGAATTGTCTGTGCAGAGGGAAAACAAAATTAATTTTCAGTATTATTATCCGAGTAGAAGTTGGTGGACGTAATTAATAGGGTAATTAATTATTAGATTCTCGCGAAATAAATGCCATATTAAAAAATGTAAATGGCAACTTGTGGAAAAGGAGTGATTTTAGAAATAAGCCATCTTATTTCTCGAGGTATTAAAATATTTAGATATATAAATGAAATCTTCATATATATTAAATATAATACAGTCTTTATATATATATCGATTTTTTTTTTTAATTTTTTGATTTACATTTTTTTTCAGAAAATTAATTCTGATTTTTCAATTAAATTTTAAATGTTAATATTAATCTTTTTTTTTTTAATTTCACGTTTTGTTGTAGCGTATCATATGTCTGATTTATTAAAATGCTTAAATTCTATTTTAGTCCATGCATTTTTTAACTCATGTTTTTCTTATTAATGTAATTTAAAAAATAAATTATTTTGATCTCTTTAGGTTGATCGGTTGTCTATTTTGGTCTCACTACTTTTAAAATGTAAATATATATATATATATATATATATATATATATATATATATATATATATATATTCAAAAAACATATTTTGATTTTTATAATAAAAAAAATTACTATTTTGATTACTGTTGGCAAAGTTATGATATAATATTCAAACGTCATTACGGTTTGTAAAGTTATATATATAAAGTAAAAGGACTCGAAAATTTCAAAATTTAAAATACAAATAACCAAATTCAACTTTTTGAAAGTAACAAATATGGTTCTTTCACATCAGTTAGATCTCGAGTTTTTAATGTTGCTTATTAGTATTAATGGTCTATTTTTATTATATTTAATAGATAAATAAATTCCACTAATAGTTTTAAATTAAAGAAAACAAGTCAAATTACTTACGAAGTCTTATACTACCAAATATGTAGATAAGTATTTTTCTTTTGAGAGTATATCAAATAGAGATAAAAATGAAAAATTATGTGTCTATATTATTATCACTTTTCAATAGAAATTAAATGAAAATTTTAGTTAAAGTAGAAAAATTAAAAGTGAAAAAATGATGGTAAAAATTAATAATGAATGAAGGAGAATGGTACCTTCATTTGGGTTCGCTTGTTTTGAAACCAGAATTTGACTTGTAGGGGTTCGAGCCCTAGCTCCCGGCTGAGGTTCTTTCTTTGCTTGTCATCTGGGTGAGGACACTCCTTAAAAAACCTGAAAATAACATAAAATTAAACCCGTTATTTATTTTTCTAGAGACAAAAGAAAAATTAAAAGGTTTCAGAAAGAATAAAATGCTTACGCTTCCATTTCCTGGATTTGGAGCTGCGTGTGGCGATGGTAACGCTTCCTCTTATTGCTGTGATTGTGCTGACTTTGGTCCTCTCCCGAAGGAGCTTCCATGGCGTCGGTCACCGATCTACTCTCGAACTCATCTTCTCCAAAATTTTCAAGTTCGCTTTCGAAGTTTTTCTGTGTCATCTCCAGAAGCAGATCCTGCTGATCTTCAAAATCAAGGCCCCCAAACATTTCTAACCCCTCCCTTTTTCGATCTTCCGCTAAATCCACAAACCCAAATCAGAAATTAACAAAATAATTGACTCATCGCCAACTAATGGAATAATGATTTTGCTACTTTAATTTATATGATCTTTCTCTCGAATATGAGAAAGAGAAAAATTTATATGACGGTGATAATATTTAACATGCAATAATGAATGAGATTTTTTTTTTTAAATATTATTTTCTGTGTCGGGTAATTTCTTAGGCAACCCACAATGGGGGTTGAGAGTTGAGAGTTGAGAGGGAGCTAGCTAAAGGGTGTCTTTAAAACGAAATAGTATAGAGTATTAATTAAGGAAATAGGCTTTAAAACTAATTGGGTTTCTTCCAAAGTCGAATATAAATGTCAAAGTATTCCCCCAAAAAAGAAAAAAATAATAATCGAAAACCTCTCGAGAGATGTGATATATCGGGGAGTTATAGTGAATGTAGTACGATTAATTAAATTTGATATATAGTTAAGATTAAAGATAAAATAATTAATTATTAGATTATTGTTACAAAGTTTGAATATAAAAATAATGGTAGAAGAAAATTGATGAGGAGGATCACCTGGGTTGATTGAGGAGCGAGATCAGAGAATACAGAAGGCTGACTTCTGGGCGGCGTTAGTAGTAGTGTTGGTAGCCATGCATGTACTGTGTGAGCTTCAAAAAATTTGTAGTTGTGGGGTTGACGAGAGGGAAACAGAATGAGCAAAAAAGGCCAAAAATTTAATTGAACAACACGACTGGGTAATTACGTGGTCGACGATGGCGAGGCCTTATGACCAAAATAAAAACCGAAAAACCAAAGAGAAGATGACGATGGGATTATTGGCACCTGCTACTGCCCAGTCGTCATAGAAATAAAAAAAAAAAACCTCACAACTTCAGTTTCAGCCCCCAAACGCTAAAACCAAGAACGTAACGCCTTTTTCATTGTTCTCTCTCCTCGAAGAATGGGGTGTGGAGTTGTGGGGGAGAATGCACATAGAGAAGATAATGGGTCAGGTCCGGGTCCGGGTCGGGTGAAAAATTGAAGGGTTTTGGAGAGAAACAGTTGGGGAAGCGAGTGGAAGTGGCAGCGGGGGGAGTAAATATACTAAATAGGAGACCCGCAGAAGAGAAGTTTTGAATATATAATGTAATATAATAATGGTCAGAACTCAGAACTCAGAGCTCAGAAAACCCCAATTACGATCCGCAGCTTTTTCATTAAAAACCACTCACCAATTTGTATAACGCTTTCATTCTTCATCTTCACCATTTCCCCAACCATCATAACCCAAACGAAAAGGAAAAAGAAAGGGAAAGGCATCCACCACTTTTATACTTTTCTTTTCCTTACTTATAAATGTGTAGGATGTGGAGAATTTAAACCATTCTTGTGTTTGCTTTATAGTTGTTCAGCTGTTAAAAGTATGTATAATCTCCTTGATGGGTCGAAGATATCTCGAATCCCCCACCTTACTATGTTGTGTTGTTATATATTCTCGAAAGGAAAATTATATAATAATTTGGCCAAATAGTATTGTCATATTTGCAAACTATATGGTCAATGACAAGCGTTTTTAGTGTCTATTTCTGATAGATGTCTATCTTTAATAGAAGAATAATATCATTGATAGACATCTGTGAAGTGGTACGCGGTTGAGATATGTTGTTAGAAAATTATGCCATATTTGTAATTTATTTAGCTTGAGATAAATTTGTTATTATTTTGAAAAAAATTAGGGGTAAAGCGGCTCCTTCTTAAAATAAAATAAAAAATAGAATTGTCGGTGAGTAAGTGACAATAGAAATATTTTCCATCCACGGCAAGTATGTAATCTCAAAGTTTTTAATTTCTTTTAGAATATAGCTTTTTATAAATTTGGGTTGGGACTCCGTGAAGTTTAATTCTTTAATTTAATTTTAATACCATAATTATGTTTCAACCTGATATTATTTAGAAAATTAAAACTCGATTACTGACAATTACTTCGACACTAAAAGAATAATAAGCTCTACGAAGATGAATCAACAAATTAACCATCAAAATTGAATAAATTTCAATAGTAGATCGGTATCCTAGAAAATGGTTTCATTTTAATCTTTTCTTATAGTGTCAATTCAAACTGACCTTATATTAAAAATTCATTATATCAGATCATACAAAATTTTGAAAAAGAAAAAGATAAATTTATCGCTCTTATTTTTCTTTTTCCTTCTTTTTAGAAGTCTTTTTAGAAAACCTCCAAGAGTCGATTGTACTTTAAAAGTCTAGCCTATGGTCTAAATACTAGAGTCTAAACGACAACTCATTAGCATGGGGCAAAATTAAAAGCTCTTTAAGTGAATAAAAATAAAAATATATAGAGATTCAAATCTATGAATCAATCATCGAAAACATTTACTTACTACATTCATAAGTTTTCTTTCAGTACATTTACATAAATAAGTGTGTACGGTGATTTCTGATCTGACTTGATCGGAAGCAATAAGATTGGGTGGGGTTGAGTTTAAGATCAACGAACTTGACGAGAGACGACTTGTAAAAAAAAAGCAAACATTTTGACGCTCAAATCAGTCAGGAACCAACGTATAGTCTCAAGTCGAGGTTCGATTGCATATTTGAAGTTGGGATGGAGCTTCTATTTAAAGGCTAGGAGTCAGGTGATAACGACATTCGATTGTTCAGTTGTGTCGTCGGAAAATTAATTACACAAAGATAGATTGTCGGATCCATTGTAAGGCCGAAGCATGACATTATTACCTTCGACCAAGTGGAGTTGGATCGAACTTACAAGTAACCTTATGATTGAATTTCAAGGTTGGCCACGTCGAAGATTATCTTCCAAATTTTGGAGAAAAGATCTTAGCACACCGATCTTTTCCTAACTCTCCACATGACAATTCCATTTCTATACCCTCCAACAATAAATATAATAAGAATTTAATTGCTACATATTTCACCTCATAAATTAAGTTCGAAACATTAAATATTCTACATTTAAGAAAATTAGATCAACGGGAGAATATGCCATATGAGTCCCCTAATGTTTGTTTTCGTCTCTTTCGCATGCATTTCCTCACCCTCACTTTCTGTTGTTTTTGATATTTTGTATCCACCTCTTATCTAATTATATATGTCAAAAAGTTAAATTTGATACAATATCTCATGTAATAATTAGAGAGAGTAAGTTTATTTAAAGACTTGAAATCAACAAGATAACAGAAAATAACTAGCTAGCCTAACAAATAATTATAACAACAATCATTTAACTAATCATACAATTAACAAATATTAGTTACTAAAAATAGCTTTTACTACAACCATATATCCCAACCAATATTTAATTAATTTTAGGCACCAAAACATGTAACTATATTTATATGTATTATGTGGATTGGTAATGTAAATTGTTACATTTTTATACATTAGATCTTTCTTTTTCTCTATATGAATGTAATATTTCATTTATCAAGTTTCAACTTGTATGGTTTTACCCAAACGAGCCATTAATAAATTGCAGAAGAAGTACCTTTTAATGTCCACGTGGAATTATGATTCACCTTGTATAAAATAGAATGATGGTAAGGACTACTAATTATCTATTGCAGCATTATTAATGGGCATTCAATGTTAGAACAAAAATGTGGTAATACTGTTTCGCACATGTATATGTATATGTATATGTATGTTCTTCTTTTTTAATAAAATATAACATCAATAATTCAAAGTAGTGAATTTTCACCGACCAGTTTTGCCCCATGTTACATATAATGTCAACAAAACAATAATTTTCATTTATTACGCAGATTAAATAAAATAAATCATACCCTGCAAAAATTTCCTAATAATTTTGCTTTTTATATTAATGGACTTAATTTCGAGTGGAGTGGAGGCAGTTGCAGCCAAGCTTTAAAGTGGTTTGTCCTGTAAAAGGCAGCCTAATTAAAACAGCAGCAGCTTAAACTCAATGCCCAATATTGCCTTGTTGTTTCTTGCAAGCATTCTTGTAAGCACAAATATACAGAAATAAATAAATAAATATATATATATATATGTTGACTTTTCCACTTTATTCTGTTCATCTTCATCCCCGTGTGTTTAACTTTAATGGCAGCAAAATAATTGTGTACAGGACACAAAATATAAAATTATAATTAGATGAACGAGTAAAGTACTAGCTAGTAGCTTAGTCTTGGCAGTGGTTGATTAAATGAAGTAATAAATTAAGAAATAGTGATCTTCATTGAATATGAAATTGACTATTGATGTGACCACTGTACCAAGGAAGGGATATTGAATGGGTTATTATTGAGTTTCTGAATCTGTCATGTTGGATTACTATTGTGCATGAAAGCTTCACCTCATAAACTATGATAAATCTAATCGTTTCATACCTTCACAACATGGAAAATAAATTCCATATTCCAAATTAATGTAAGTTTTGCCTTGTGTTCATGTTTGATGATAGATACTATGTTATAAATACATGGTCAATTTTGATTAGGTTGGAAAAACTGCTTAGCAAGAATCTTTTCCACTTTCATAGTTATTCAATGAAAATGTCGAAGCCAACCACACAATTGAGAATATAGGTAAAACACAATAAACGATATAGAGAATTTATACTGATTCACCAAGTGAGGACTACCACGACAAGTGGATTCTACTATAATAGAATTGATATAATCGACATACAATATTTCTCCCTCTAGAGATCCTAAAAGTCATCTAGCTTATAGGAATTACAACAATAAGATCCTAAGAAATAGGAATTACTACAACTTCGAGATCTCGCCCCCACTCAAATTGTGCAACAACACTTTAAAAACGCGCAGCACTGCGAATTTGAAAGTCTGTCTCGCGCCTGGATTGTGACAGTGTTCAGATGGTAGCCTTTAATCTTCTTTCATTCTTGCTTCGAATCCGTTCCGACATCATTTCGGCTCCGTTGGTAAAAGGAGAGTTTAACTTTCAACGCGTTCGGAAATAAACAAACAAACCAAAAAAGAAAAAAAAAAGAAAAAAGAAAAAGAGAAACCATCCTTCATGAACACAAAGTGCTGCAATTTTCTGAGACTGTGTCGTTTCTTCATTAAATGAATTGGTGTAAGTTGTCGGAGAGATGGCAACGTCACAACCAATGAAGTAAGTTGCAATGGCCTCTTCTGTCATTATCTCATAGATCCACAAGGTTGCAGCTGCAGCAATTGATACAGCGCCAAACATGGTGCATTGATTAATAAATTTGCCACACCATCAAATTAATATATTATAAGATGGAAAATGAACTAACAAAACAAATAAAAAGCTCAGCTTTTTTTTTGTTTTTTGAATTTTTCTTATAGCATTCATTCAAAGTAGCAGCACACTTCCATTCCACCATGGCCTTTTTCTTCTTGAAATGAAAACAAAATCATTCTTTTTACACATCTTCTGATGCCTATCTAGTTTCCCTTGTCGGGGCGAAAACAAGCTGACTACTACTACTTTTTATTCGATCGTCTGATTTACACTCGGTCGAAAAAATTGCACCATTTCTGAGTCTTCTTTCAACGCATATAGGCTGGTTTTTTCTATTCCTTTGCACAAGTATAGAGAGTTTGTGATGCCATTTCTAAACTTGCAAATTGGGGGGTGCAATCTTGATTTCGCCGAAGGAATGCTTTGTCTTTGATGCTCGAGATGATTTTGACGAAGATGATGAAGATTTGGGAGACGAGTTTCTACTCTTCTTCTTTGGTTTTGTGGGAAGATTGGGAATTTCTGTGCGAGGAAGTTCGCCAAACAAGTCCGATGCTGGTTGTCGTAACATTGCTTGATCGAAATCTGTTAACAGAAACGAAAATATAAAGAAACCTTGATAAGCAATGATTCACCATTATTTTTTTAGTTCAGAACAGAATGTAGGCACAGCACAGCACAGCAACAAACCAATCACAGACCATGTGCAACTAACTTCCATCAAGTGTTCACAATAAATTATAAACCCCCTATCAACGTCTAGAAGGGAGACCCGGAGGAGAAGAAGAGGTCTGAGTAAGTACCATAAATACTGTTCAGAACTAGGATTACAGTATCGAAATTTAGCGTTTTTTGCAAAAAAAATCCAAGAATTATGAGATCGATGCCTAGCTGATAAAAAGATATAGACAGTCGAATGTGCAAAGTGAAAAGAAAGAGTAAATCCCGAATATGGTAATGTCATCTCAACCTAAAGTAACTATTTTCCGATGTAGTAGGCCGATAACTTCGTATTTAAACTGCAATTTCATGCTCGACAAAACGTGACTAGGGAGTGGATCAGGCTAATTAACACGGGTTGGGTAGATTCAACCATGGAAAGGTGAAAAAGGTAGATGATATCACATTTGTCAATTGAACTCAACCACATGGTCTTTTCATACCAGCAATCAATCTGCCATCATATTGTGAACCTGGACCACATCTGAAAAAAATGTTTAAATCCTATTTTGTTTTATGTATTTTTGACTTTGGTACATTTTGGTCTTTGTAGTTCTAAAATGTTAATCTCAGTCCCTATACTTCCAAATTTATTCATTAACATCCGTTTTGGTCCTTTTTGTGCAAAATTTTAATACAAATTTTATACACAATAGAAACCCTTTGATACAAATTTATTGCTATATTTTAAGAAATTTAAGGAGTGAAGTGCTATGGTTAAAATTATGATTGAAATAAATAAGATAAAAATGAAAATGTGGGACAAAAATAGTCACTTTTAAACAATACAGAGACGAAAACAGACGTTTTAAAAATATAGGGACTAAAATGAACAAAATTTAAAAGGAACTAAAATAATATTTAAGCTTAAAATAAAATATAACTTTGTTCCTTTCGAAGGCTAATAAGCACCAAGATTACCCCAGACAGAGGAGTAGTGGTCTCGTGACATAAAAGCCAAAAACCCACTACTGGGGTAAAGAATCTCCAAAATCTGTTCTTATATCATAGAGCTTTATTCAATAAATTATGAAAAAGACATTAAATTATCTGTTGTTTTCAACAGGTTAACCCGTGAAAAGCCACTGTTTGCACTTGTCCACTAACAGAAAATACCTTCCAATGGCACATGTTCTCAATACCATTTCTTGCATTCCCACTTTCCACTACCGCAGTTTCTATTCTAATCCTATACTTGTATTTTCTGCCAAAGAGAAGCAATCCTAAAAGGAAAGAGAAGCTAGAATGGAGGATGGCAGAAAGTACCAAGAGAAGACCATGTTGTAGGAGCAGTTATAGCCGTAGAACTTGAATCTCTTCTATCACTAATATCACCAAACGATGCGGCTGAGAAATGCTCTGGTGCCGATTTGAATTCATTCATCTGCAGAACAAGGGAAAATAAAGAGACCCAGATGGTTAAATTGTGCAAAGAAGTGAACATTACTAGAAAATTTTATAAGGAAGTGAAAATATTGAGATCAGATGATGGTGATAACGTACCCAACTGGGTGCTGTACCAGAAGGGCCATCCCACCCAATATGTGCCACATGCTTCACATCTGTCGGATACCCAATCTCCATCTCTCGCTCTTTCACCACTAAAATAGTCTCAATTTATCAAATCAGTCCCAAATCATCCAGAACCAAGCGAAAAGTTAGGGGGAAAATTGGTGTAAAAGAGAGGAGAAAGAGAAGAGACAGAAGCATTACCGAAGATTTGGGAAATGTACTTGAAACTTTTGTAGATCCCTTTCAATTTGTTAGACATGATTTTGAAAGTTAAGAGTCCAATTCAACAGCTGAGACGACCGGCCCCTTTAAACAATAAGAGTGGGAATCGACAACTACAAGCAAAAATCCCCAAATAAGCTGGAGACCAATGGTTATTCTTTTTCTTTAGGGCCTGCCAGAAAAGTAGGCATACTCAGCTTAGACAAGCTTTGCGTGTATTTTTCAAGCACATTCAAAATCAAACAATGCCTGGAGTATCAGAGAAGGCTGATTGCATGTGATATCGGACAACCTTTTTTTTCCTTTTTTTCCCGTGGATGAAGAATGGAATCTAATAATTAAAACAAAAGAAGATACATTTCATTAATGACGAAGATATGATTTGGATGCATTAAAACCCATCTTTCTTTCCCTTCATACAAAAGTTTAAAATACAGAGAACTACACAGGAAAGCGAGTAAAAGCGCAAATAAAACATAAGATACCTCAAGAAGATGCTTAAAATGGTAGAAATAAAGGGGTGGATTCGAAACAGAAAGCAATCTCTTCTCCAGCAATTAGCTCCCCTGTTTCGGTGCTTCCTTCTGCAATTAGGTTCGATTCCTTCCGACGGATGGAGAAGGATCCAAATCCTTTCATTTGGGTGTTCGAAAAGCCTAAAAGTGAAAGCCCATTAAAGAAAAACTAGTAAGAACAAAGGAGAAATGAGTAAAATCGTAAGACTGAGGAAGGTTTAGTGTAGAAGCGGTTCATTATTAGTGAGGGAGAGAGAGACAATGGCTTTTGAAGAGGAGAGAAGGTAAATGACCATGAAAACCTCCAAATTGAAGGGTAATACAAAGAATTCGAAGGACAGGACAAGGAAAGGAACCGAGTGGCCTCCACAAATACTAATAAAATTAGGTACTTTGTCAGTGTTCATATATCTATGATTTTCTATATGGCTAATTAGTTGCCTTTTTGATGTAATAAAAAAAATGTGAAAACTGAAAATAATAGAAAATCATTAACATAAAGTACTTGTATTAATACCATGATACGATATTGGAGAAAGATGATTAAGTAATATTATTTTGTGATGTACTTTAGATGGCAAATCTCCCAAATTTTGCAAATAAAAATAGGAAAATGGGTATGGTGGTGGAACAATTAATATGAAGGTCGTTTTCTTACCCCAAAAAAATTCTCATAGTTTTATAAAACAACTATCAAATTGAGGT